TCCCCTCTCCAGGCGGCGCCCCCCTCGCCTCTTCCCTCTGGGGTCCCCACGACCCTCACCTGCGGGCACCCCGGCGGCGGACTCTGGGCAGTCGACGCGCCGAGCCAGGTCTGGGCCCCGCGCGCTGCCGCAGCCACTTCCTCGTGGGCGGGGGCGGGGCCCAGGGCGGGGACAGGCGGCCGCCAGCTCCCGGCCCCGCCCACCCCCACGGGCTCGGGGACCGTAGGGCCCGCTCGGTCCTGGGGCATCGGTGACCCGAGGCGCCCAGAACTGTCTGCGACCGCCCCTCCCTATTATGGGTGGAGAAGCTGAGCCTGATAGAGAAGGTGACAGCCTGAGGAGCAGCAGGTTGGGAACCTGGCGGTGGCGGGGGGAACTGGGCAGAGCGCATGTACCCCCGCTAAACCCCAAGAGCGGACCACGCGGGGACCCAGAGCCGGGGCCTCCAAAACCGGACGGCCCTCGCTGGTGACCGAGCAACTTGGAGAGTGTCTGCCGGCCTCGGCGCCCAACCTCGCGAGGGGACATCCCTTCCCTGTGTGATGATCCTCGTGCGGGTGCTGGCAGCGCGACAGCCTTCCCCAGTCCGACGTCCGGACCACAAACGGTTGCTGGCCCCGGGCGGGGGTGCGCGCCAGCCCCCCTCCCTCCTCTTATTTCAATGCTAACTTCTCCCACAGCAGTGTGCTTGGGGCACTTCACTCCTTTAAGATGTTGGGAGCGGGGGCGGGGGGGGGGGCGCTGTCCTTGCAGGTACATGAATTTCGTCTTGGGTCAGGTGGTCCGCAGGGGTCTTTCCATCCAACTCGCTGCCTCATCAGTGGCCAGGGGGCCACGAGGCCCAGCAGATGAGGGAAACCTCGGTGAAAATCCTGCTGGGTTACACCTCCTCATGCCCCTCTCTCTTGGATCCATCTCACCCCAGACAGCCAGGCAGCAGCTGATGGGGTGCACCTGCAGTGAGCACACAGTAAGGGCTCAATAAACCTTAGCTGAAATTTTTATGACTATGCACCCTCCTGGCACTGAGGAGATGCTGAGGGGCACTATCCAGGGTCCCCCATCTTGCTGTTCTTGAGCCTTGGCAAAGCCAGGTGATGGCTTTAGTGTAACCAGAACAGTTTCAAATGGTCTGTACTGGCATCCTCCACTGGGACAAGTGACACTGACATTGGTTCCCTGGCTTCCTGTCTACCCCTTATAGATGCCCAGGTAACGACCCCAGGTGGGACTGAGCCCTACCTCTGGCGGTGGGCCCTGAGTGGCCTAACCCAATCAGTTCCTGAACTTGTGATCTAAGATGGCCCAATCAAAGCAAAGCCCAGGGCTTCTGAAGGACGATGGAGAGGTAAGAAACTCTTTCCTGTCTTCTGGGTGAGCTGCAGGAATCTGAACACGGCTGTAGAACAGCCACGTGGGAAGCCGGCCCAAAGATGAAACGGGCACAGGAAAGTGGAGAGAATGCCTGAGAAACCACTGCAGCCCTGGCCAGCCTGCTACTGACCAGCCTCTGGGCCAACCTGCCACTTGGGGTCTCAGGTACGTGAGCCATACATCTCCTTTATTTTTAATCTGGTTTGAGTTTTTCTGTTTCCCATCACCAAAAGCATCCTAAAAAATACACATACCTTAAGGATCCCCCTTTTCCTATGAAAACCGAAGTAGATAGCCTGATCTGATGAAGACTCATAAGCTCCATATGAACAGAAACCATGTTTGTATTGCCCATCCTCCTCTCCCCAGTGCCTAAAACAGTGCCTGGCATGTAGAATATACATACATACATCAATATACATCTGTTGAATGGTGAATGAATGAATGAACAAGGCATGTCAGAAAACTGAATTCAATCCAGACTCTGCCACTTAACTAGTAGGGTGGCCTCAGGCAAGTCCTTCCTCTTGCAGTGCCTCGGTTTCCTCATCTGTAAAGTGAGGCTCACTCCTAACAAGCACTGCCTGCCTCCTTGCACGCAGGCAGTTGTGGCAGGATGATCCATGGATGGGAAAGTAAGCCTGAAGTGCGAAGGCATGCTTTTGTGTGGACTTTCTTGCCATGGTCTTGTAACTCCCACCAAATGATTAGGTGGGACCATTCTAATGTGTATGGAACCCTAATGAGGGGATTGGTCACTTTTGCCATCCTGCTAGGCTTAAAATGAGAGTCAGTTCCAGAGCAAAGAGAGGATCTCACCACCACCAAGGAAGAATAGCTGGGTGTGAAGCATGTCCTTTGGACCTGGGATCCCCGCTCCTGGAACGAGTAGACAGAGAGAGAGCTTTAACACTGAAGACAGCTAGAAGCAGTGGCAGAAGATGTCACAGGGGCTTCCTGGCCCATGGAGTGAGAAAGCTGAGCGCCTTTGGGCAGGAGGCTTGCTGGTAGAGTAGGGTGCCTTGCGACACTTACCAGCAGAGCTATAAGAGCTTTGTAACACTTGCCTGAGCAGGGCAAAGGCTAAAGGCCAGAGACGCATGCCTGTGGGCACAGCTGAAGAGAGGCTGACCTGATAGAATTGTTCTCTGAATGTTCCTGAACCTGAATTATAACCTGTTACTTCCCTAATAAACCCCATAATCGTGAGTATTGTCTGTGAGTTCCGTGTGGCCATTGCAATGGATTATTGAACCCAGCAGAGAAGTAGAGAGCGCCATGGGGGGGATGGTTGGTGTCAGAATTTGTAAAGATGGTGGAGAGAGGAGACATTGTCTAACTTCAGCCTCACAGAAATCAGCCTTGGGCTGTTGATCTTGATTCTCCTTCCGCTTGTGAAGTTAGAGGTTAGACACCGCCCAGCCCCCATGCCATTTTTACAAAGCTTCAAACTGGGAAGCGATGGAGGCATTATTTGAAATGGCTCCCCCAGGGGACAAGTCTTATAACCCTTAAGTGAAGCAGCCTTGGGTATGGAAAGGTCTCATCTGGAGTTCAGAAAACAACTTGGACAGCTTTCTGTTTCTTCCTGGAATCTGTGTCACGAGGAACCTGAGATGAAGATGCTGTACTCCCCGTTTTCCCACCTTCTCCGGTTTCAAGAAATTCAGTCCACACCCAGGGCCATGACACCTCGGGGCTAGCAGGCGTCCCTCCATTGCTGCCAAGTCAATTCCGACTCATAGCGACCTTACAGGACAGAGTAGAACTGCCCCATAGGGTTTCCAAGGCTGTAATCTTTACAGTGGTGCAGTGGTTAAGAGCTCGGCTGCTAACCAAAAGGTTGGTAGTTCTCTACCAGCTGCTCCTTGGAAACCCTATAGGGCAGTTCTACTTTGTCCTATAGGGTCACTATGAGTCGGAATCGACTCGATGGCAATGGGCTTTTAAAATCTTTATGGAAGCAGACTGCCACATCTTTCTTCTGTGGAGCAGCTGGTGGGTTTAAACTGCCACTTGGTTAGCAGCCAAGAGCTTTAAGCACTGTGCCACCAGGGCGCCTCAAAGGCAGTCCAAGGTGGTGCAATGTCTCCAGGTCACCAAGGTTCTGTCTTTCTGCTCCTCCTTCCTCACTGTACTGGCCTTATTGCCTTCTGGTCACAAAATGGTGGCCAAGCTCTAGGCACCTCAACTGCAAGGAGGCAGGGGGCTGGCCCAGGTGGAGACCAGGGAGAAAAACCTTTCCCAGGAGCCCTCGGCACACACCCCCTTGACCTCATTGGCCACAACAGGGTCATGTGCCTAGCCCAGAACGGGGGCCAAGGCCCTTCGACTGGGATCACCACCCGGTAACAGGAGGGAAGAGGTGAAAGCTGGTGCCTCCCTCCCAGCCCACAGGCAAAGGTAAGGTGGCCAAAGCCCCAGGAGGCAGATGTTTCCCCAGGCTGAGCCTGGAACATGCTTCACATTCCACATCCCAGGCCCCGCCCTCAAAGACTGGTCTTCTGAGGGGAAAGGCAACCCGGGAACAAACTGTCCTTCCACACCACAGGACTGCCTCTATGGTCACTTCAATTGAGGACTTCAGGTCTACAATGAAACCCCACCAGGTGTCATCCAACAAAGGCGCCACCTCCCAGCAGTTCCAGCGACATCTCCTCCTATACTCACCCACCAATATGCTTAGTGGTTCCAGCCAGGGCTCTGGCGAAGCTGCCACGGCCACGTGCCCGTGAGGTCAAGAGCCTGGCCATGCCCAATGTGACCCTGTATTTACTTATTTTGCTCTTCACTTATATTTGTTTGTACCCCTCAAGAGTCTCAGCTTTGGAATGTCAAACTTCATGTCTAATTATGATGAGAATAAATTGTTTGGGCATAATAGTCTCTACACCATGATTACACCCTTCCCCCTTTTCTCTTCCACCTGCCCGCTCCCTGGGCACAGGGCAGAGCCAGATGCAGGGCCTCGAACAGCAGGCTCCCGTTTACACAGGATGGGATGCTTAGTGGCAGTGGGATGCTCTGTTGCTTCGTATGCAAAATGGGAACAGTTCGCCTACTCTGTGGAAGTACTGTAATTCTAACAGACAGCATTCAATAAATGGTTATTTTTTATTCTTCAATAAATGCTTCTTTTGGTCAACCATTGTATAAAAACAGTTGCCACTGAGTTGATTCCAACTCACAGCGACCCCATGTGTGTCAGAGTAGAACTGTGCTCTGTAGGGTTTTCAATGGCTGATTTTCTTGAAGTAGATAGCCAGGCCTTTCTTCCGAGGTACCTCTGGGTGGACTTGACCCTTCAACCTTTCAGTTAGCAGCTAAGCGCGTAACTTTGCACCAGCCAGGGACTCCAAAGCTTGCGAAGGATGGTACAATTTAAGAAACTAAGAATATAAGCAGTTACGCTTTCTCTAAAGAAAAAACATAGTTTCCCCAATAATTAAGTTTACAATAATTTACCTATGTTTTTCTATTAAAAACGAAAACAGAAGGAAACAAAACCAAAAACACATTCAGTATTTTTATTTCATTTTCTAACAAACAACTTACATACCTCCCCCCTTCCTTTAAATCAGTGTGATAATTTTCCAATATAAACTACTTAAAGAGAAGCTTTGGTCAAGAATGGAACAGCCAAAAAAAAAAAAAAATCACTGCTGCTTTTAAAAAACCCCAACACTTCCACCAATTATATTCAAACAAAACACACACAGTATTTGCACGATACATGTTTTCAGTGTTTCTTGCAGGTGGGGAGGCAGGCAGTCGCAGTTTGTCATGCTAGATCAATCTCAGAGGTTTGCTCAGCTTCACATTATTCGAAGGCCCTGGATAGAAGACTCTAAGGTCTTAAGAAGGCAGAAAGACACAGATAATTACTGAGGACTGTCTATCCATAGCACTGCACTGCACTATAGTACACCATACCACACCACGCCACACCACACCACGCTACTACCCACCCGTTTGGTTGAGGTGCAGCCCCCAGCCCATGTGACACGTCCCCTTCTGTGAGCAGCTCTCCCAGGACTCGCCTCCTGCTGGCCTCGCCAGGCCTGTGCACTCCCTGTCCATCACCCCAGCCCCTACGGCTCCTGGCACATTCCCCTGCAGTCCTAGGGTGGGTGGCATGTCCTATCTGTGCCGCAGCTTTTAAGCATGTGGTCCCTCCTCTCTGCGTTCTAAACGCCTAATGGCAGGGACCCTCCAGCCAGCCAGGCAATCCACAGAGCGGGTGCTCAGAGGTGTGCTGATGAGAGGTGAATACACTGTGCCTCCCTAGCGTCGAGAGGAGAGAAAGGGACTGGGCCTGAGGGGTTGAGGAAATAAAGGGCTAGCTTAGGGACGTGTGAGAAAGATTTCATATCACTGCCAGTAACTGCCTAAAAAAAAAACCTGTTGCTGTCGAGTTGATTCCGACTCACAGCGACCCTATAAGATGGAGCAGAACTGCCCCATAGGGTTTCCAAGGAGTGCCTGGTGGATTCGAACTGCTGACCTTTTGGTTAACAGCTGAGCTCTGAACCATTGTGCCACTGGGGTTTGGTAACTGCCCAGGGGGTGATAATTACGTAGGAGCTGAGATGCCCCGGACATAAAAGCATGTGAAGGTGGGAAGACTGTTTCTCCAAAGAATATTGTGGAAACTTTTCTACATTTGACCCAAGGTGGGGGGGGGGAAGAAATCAAACATCATAGAAATGCACAGGTAGTGAAAAAACTGTGTAAATGTCTGCCTGTTTGGGAAGTTACCAACCAGGAGAAATAAATTCAGAGCCACACAGAGGAGCTTCCTCTCTGACACCTGCTCCTCCTCCCTGGTGCCTTGTCTCAGCAAGAGGCCTGCCAGCCACCCTACCCCAAAGCTATAGACAGTGAAGTCCTCATGGGTTTGTCCTTCACTGTCACTATGCCTTTGAGTCCCTGGATAGTGCAAATAAATGGTTAATGTGATCAGCTGCTAACCGAAAGGCTGTCCGCCCAGAGATGCCTCAGAAGAAAAGCCTAGCAATCTATTGCCAAACAATACGGAGCACAGTTCTACTTTGCCACTCATGGGGTTGCCATGAGTCAGAACAGACATGACGGCAACGGGTTTGGTCTGGTTACCACGTCTTTCCATTTGGCCTAAATCTGGCTCCAGTCCAGAACCTCCTGGCCACGTCCTCTGCCACTGATGGAGTTCACTCCTCATTACTGGTTCACTGGACTTCCTGCTGCCAGTCCAAGCCATCACACCTCCAACCTCTGCTTTCTCCTGAGGCTCTGTGACAGACCTTAGTGTCTCCACCAAGCCCAGCCTCCTTGCCTCGGCCATGCCACGGCTCCTTTCTCTAGTTCTAGCTCCGGTTTCCGTAGGACCCACACCACAGGCAGGCAGGAATGCCACGCACACTCTCTTAGCTCTGCGCTGGCCCTGCACAGGCTGCTCCTGCAGCTTAGGTTGCTCTCCTCTGCCTTCTCCCCACCTCCCCACCCAGCGACTCCATGCAGCCCCCGGCCATGGGTGAATTTTATGTGTTAACGTGTCTGGACTATGGTACTCAATGGTTTGGTCAAACGCTAGTCTAGATGTTGTTATGAAGTAGTTACATATGATTAAATCAGTTGGCCTCAAGTAAAGCAGATTACTCTCCAAAATGTGGGCGGGCCTCATCCAATCACTTGAAGGCTTTAAGAGCAAAAAGGGAAGCTTCCTGAAGCATTTTGCCTCCAGACTATAAACAAACATCTTGCCAGAATTTCTCTCCCAAGACTGCTAGAATCCCAGCCTGTTGCCTGACCTGTGGATTTTGGACTTGCCAGGCCCCACAATCATGATAGCCTATTCCTCAAAAATAAATCTCTCTCTCTCTATATATATATGTATCTTACTGGTTTTGTTTCTCTAGAGAACCCTAAGATACCCCCAACTTCCTCAACGTAAAAACGAAGACAATACCTTCTCTTCTGGGGCTCCACCTATCCCCCAGCCCAGTACCAGGTACTGACCTCTGTCTTCTACCAGACAAGCCCCTCAACGGCAAGGATTTCGTCTCCTTCACCTCCGTATCCTGAGTGCCTACCACCAGGCCTGGCATGCGGCTGGCACTTAGTGAATGTTAATTAAATTCGTGTAAACTATAAAACTGCCTGTATAGTTAAACTTAGGTTGGTGCCGAACATAGGGCCTGCTCTCAGAAAAGCAGTCAATTTTTCCCTCAGTGAGTCAGTGGACACCTCACTTATAAGTATTCCATCTCATTGAGAAAACTGTGGTTTCCTCCTGCTAATACTTTCCAGGTTTAAAGAGAACTACAGTCTGTTGTTGTTGTCACGTGCCGTTGAGTCGATTCTGACTCACAGCCATCCTACAGGACAGAGTAGAACTGCCCCATCGGGCTTCCAAGGAGTGGCTGGTGGATGTGAACTGCCGACCTTTTGGTTAGCAGCCCAGCTCTTAACCACTGCTTTTTTAAAAATACCCTATATATCTGATGTTCCAAAAAATAAGAAACATTTTTCTCACAGAAAGGGTTTTAACACAAACAAGATTTGTTCTGAAAGGTAGAAAATACCTTAAAATCCCAAATTGTCATGGCTCCATCGATGCCAGTAGTGCAGAATTTACGACAATCCTGTTTGTCCACCTCATAAATAGACACTTGACTGAAAAAAGCAAAAACGAGAGATGGTGAGGTGGCAGTGAGTGTCAGCCCTCCTGACTAACAATGTCACCAAAGCTTAAGGAAATGGATTGTCTGTCAACTCCTAAGTATTCCATCACCTGAGGCAGCATCAGAAAACATCCGAATGCATTTTATTACTGCATGTCCAGAAAAGGAAAGACTGAATGGGGGAAAGTTACGAAGCTGCATTAGTTATGGTGACCTGGAGAAGCAGGATAATCCAGACCACACAGCATGCCAAAGGCCGGGTCACAGGGGATGGGAGGACGACAGCAATGACTGCAATGGAAACAATTTTCTTAACTAGAGGCATGAAGGAGCCTGACTGAAATCCCATGGCTCCCAACAAAAACTCCCTAATCACCCCCAAGACAGCCAGGACACAGAGCCTTCCTTGTGTTTGAAATTAATAATTATAAATGTTAGCAACAGTCAGATGCAGATGCCACAAGATTCCAACCAACCAAAGCAGAGGAACAGCTAAATGTCCTGGCCTGATTATCTGAAAAACTTTCAGTAAAATCAATTCTACAGCTCAGACAGCACTTTTCTCTCTTCTGAGATGTCTAGAACGTACCCCTCTAGGGCACAGAGGATAAACCATGACCTGCGGTGCCTTATTGTTTATTTTTTTTAATATAATTTTATTTATATTTTGTTGTTGAGAATATACACAGCAAAACATATACTAATTCAACTGTTTCTACATGTACCATTTAGTGACGCTGATTGCATTCCCTGAGTTGTGCAACCCTTCTCACCTTCCTTCTCTGAGTTGTTCCTCCCATTGCATAAACTCACTGCCCCCTAAGGTTCCTATCTAATCTTTCGAGTTGCTGTTGTCAATTTGATTCCATATAGATAGTTCTTAAAAGAGCATATGCTCAAGGCAGATACACTTTTTACTAGTTAAGCTAAACTACTGTTTGGTTTTAAGATGACATCAGTGGATATTTTTGGTTTAAAGATTATCTCTGGGCAATAGTTTTAGGGGTTTATCCAGCCTCCATGGCTCCAGGAAGTCTGGAGTCCAGGAAAATTTTGAAGTCTCTTCTGCATTTTCCCCCTTTTAATCAGGATTCACCTATGGAATCTTTGATCAAAATGTTCAGTGTGGTACGATGGATCACTTTATATTGCCTTTCTCGCCATGGTCTTCTAACTCTCACCCAAATGATCAGGTGAGACTATGCAAATAAGGTAGTTGTGGCCCACCAAGGGGACTGGTCAGTTTTGCAATTCTGCTAGGCTTAGAATGAGCCATCCTAGAGGTGGAAGGCGAGGATCTCACCACCACCAAGAAAGAAGAGCCAGGAATGGAGTGTATCCTTTGGACCCAGGATCCCTGCACTGAGGAGCTCCCAGAACCAGAAGACTGAGAGAGAGACAGAGAGAAAGCTGTAACACTGAAGACAGCATGAAGCAGTGGCAGAGAAACTGTGGCAGGAGAGACAGGCAGGAGACAGCACAGTGGGCCTTCTGGCCCACAGAGTGAGAAATGCCTTTGGGCCAAGACTTAATAGCAGAGTGGGGTGCCTCTGGGCACTTGTCCGCAGAGCCGTTAACACTTGCCTGAGCAGGGCAGAGGCCAAGGAGCCAGAGAGAGGCGTGCTTGTGGGCATGGCTGAAAACAGGCTGTCCTGATCGAAGAACTGTATTCTGAGCATTCCTGCACCTGAATTGTAACCTGTTACTTCCCTAATAAACTCCATAATCGTGAGTATTGTCTGTGAATTCTGTGTGGCCATTGCAATGAATTATTGAACTCAGCAGAGAAGTAGAGAGTGCTGTGGGAGGGACGGTTGGTGTCAGAACTGTCAAGATGGTGTAGAGAGGAGGCATGTCTGACCTCAGCCTCACAGGAATCAGCCTTGGGCTGTTGATCTTGATTCTCCTCCCTTATGAAGTTACAGAGGGTCAGATGCCTCCGTCACACCATTTTTACATTTAGTAACGGTAGCCGGGCACCATCCTATTCTTCTGGTCTCAGGGCAAAGGAGGCAGTTGTTCATGGAGGCAATTAGTCATACATTCCATTTCCTTCTCCTAATCCTGACCCTCATTCCTCTTTTGATCCAGGCAAATAGAGACCAATTGTTGTGCCTCCAACAGATGACTGCAAGCTTTTAAGACCCCAGGCACTATGCATTGAACGAGGAGGTAGAACAGAGGCGCTAACACGTTATTAGGCCAATTAACTGGGATGTCGCATGAAACCATGACCCTAAAACTCCAAACCAAGGAACCAAATCTCATGAGGTTTTTGGCTGTACAGAATCAGCCTCAGCAGCTACTTTTTTTTTTCTGTCATTGTTGTAAATATATTATACAACTTTTGCCAATTCAACTCTTAAATTTTTTTCCTAAATTTATTCATTTTGTTGTCATTGGTGAGAATATACCCAGCGAAACATACACCAATTCAACAATTTCTACATGTACCATTTAGTGACACTGATTACACTCGAGTTGTGCAACCATTCTCACCCTCCTTTTCTGAACTGTTCCTCTCCCATTAACATAAACTTGCTGCCCCCTAAGGTTCCTATCTAATTGTTCGAGTTGCTGTTGTCAATTTGATCCCATATAGATAGTTCTGAAAAGAACATAATGCTCAAGGCAAACATTTTTTTACTAGTTAAGCTAAATTATTGTTTGGTTTTCAGAAGACTTCAGGGGATATTTTTGGTTTAAGGTTTGATGATTATCTCAGGGCAATAATTTCAGGGGTTCATATACCCTCTTTCCAGAAAGTCTACAGTCCATGAGAACTTGAAATTCTGTTCTAGATCTTTCCCCTTTTGATCAAGATTCTTTTATGGAATCTTAGATCAAAATGTTCAGTAACGATAGCCGGGCACCATCTAGTTCTTCTGGTCTCATGGCAAAGGAGGCAGCTGTTCATGGAGGCAATTAGTCACACATTCCATATCCTCTTCCTATTCCTGACTCTCTTCCTCTGTTGCTCCAAGTAAATAGAGACAACTGTTGTGCCTTCAATGGCCACTTGCAAGCTTTTAAGACCCCAGGCACTACACAACAAACTACGAGGTAGAAGAGAAGCACTAAACACGTTATTAGGCCAGTTAACTGGGATGTCCCATGAAATCATGACTCTATACCTCCAAATCAAGGAACCAAACCCCATGAGGTGTTTGGCTGCACACAAGCAGCCTCAGCAGCTACACTTTTTTTTTTGTCATTAGTGTAAATATGTCTATCACAATTTTTGCCAATTCAACTTTTCACAGGTGTACAACTTACTGACAGCAATTGCAGTAATCAGCTGTGTAAGGCTATCCTTAATCAATGCAATTTTCCATCACTGTTAACCCGCCTTTTCCCCCTCCCCACTAATAAACTTTGGTCTCTATACATTCACCTTTTCTTGTCTTTTTATATAAGCGAGGTCATACAATACTTGTCCTTTTGTGACTGACTTATTTCAGCATAATGTCTTCCAGCTCCATCCACATTGTAGCATGTATTGGGACTTCATTTCTCATATGGGGAGTAGTATTCCATTGTAAGTATGTACCACATTTTGTTTACCCATTCATCTGTTGATAGGCATTTAGGTTGTTTCCAACTTTTGGCTACTGTGAATAGTGCTACAGTGAACACTGGTGTACACGTCTCCGCTTGAGTCTGTACTTTCAAGTCCTTTGGGTATATACCTAGGAGTGGAATTGCTGGGTCATATGGTTGTTCTATTTTTAGTTTTCTTCAGGAACCGCCACACTGTTTTCCACAACGGCTGTACCATTTTGCGTTCCCACAAGCAATGGGTGTTTCAATTTTCCCACATCCTCACCAACATTTGTTGTTTTCTTTTTTTTTAATCTTAGCCATCCTAGTGAGAGTGAAATGGTATCTCATTGTGGTTTTGATTTGCACACTGATGGCCAGAGACGCTGAGCATCTTTTCATGTGTTTGGTGGCCATTTGAATGTCCTCTTTAGTGAAATGTCTATTCAAGTCCTTTGCCCACTTTATGACTGGGTTATGCAGTGCCTGTTTTTGTATAGCTGTGAGCTAAGAATGGTTTTTAGATCTTTAAATGGCTGGGGGAAAAATATTATTTCATGACATGTGAAAAGTATGTGAAATTAAAATTTCAGTGTCTGTGAAGTTTTATTGGAACACAGCCATGCTCATTCATTTACATATTGTCTATGGTTGTTTCTGTGTATTCCTTCCATCTTCTTTTGATGCTTCCTGTGTTGTTTAATATTTTCCCCATAGAATCCTTCACTCTTGCAACTCAAGGCTTGAATTTTTTCTTCAGTTTTCAGCTTGAGAAATGCTGAGTGTGTTCTTCCCTTTCGGTTTTCTATCTCCAGCTCTTTGCACATGTCATTATAATACTTTGTCTTCTCGAGCCGCCCTTTGAAATCTTCTGTTCAGCTCTTTTACTTCATCATTTCTTCCTTTTGCTTTAGCTACTCGATGTTCAAGAGCAAGTTTCAGAGTCTCTTCTGACATCCATTTTGTTCTTTCTTTCCTGTCTTTTTAATGACCTCTTGCTTTCTTCATGTATGTCCTTGATGTCACTCCACAACTCGTCTGGTCTTCAGTCATTAGTGCTGAACGTGTCAAATCTATTCTTGAGATGGTCTCTAAATTCAGTTGGGATATGCTCAAGGTTGTACTCTGGCTCTCGTGGACTTGTTCTAATTTTCTTCAGTTTCAGCTTGAACTTGTATATGAATAATTGATGGTCTGTTCCACAGTCGGCCCCTGGCCTTGTTCTGACTGATGATATTCAGCTTTTCCATCATCTCCTTCCACAGATGTAGTCGATTTGATTCCTGTGTATTCCATCTGGTGAGGGCCAACGTGTACAGTCACTGTTTATGTTGCTGAAAAAAGGTATCTGCAATGAAGAAGTTGTTGGTCTTGCAAAATTCTATCATGCGATCTCTGGCATCGTTTCTATCACCAAGGCCATATTTTCCAATTACCAATCCTTCTTCATTTCCAACTTTTGCATTCCAATCACCAGTAATTATCAATGCATCATGATTACATGTTCAATGAATTTCAGACTGCAGAAGCTGGTAAAAATCTTCAATTTCTTCATCTCTGGCCTTAGTGGTTGGTGCATAAATTTGAGTAATAGTCATATAAACTGGTCTTCCTTGTAGGCGTGTGTACTTCAGGATAGATCTTGAAATATTCTTTTTGATGATGAATGCAATGCCATTCCTCTTCAAGCTGTCATTTCTGACATAGCAGACCATATAATTGTCCAATTCAAAATGGCCAATACCAGTCCATTTCAGCTCACTAATGCCTAGGATATCATGTTTATGTGTTCCATTTCATTTTTGACGATTTCCAATTTTCCTAGATTCATACTTCATACATTCCACGTTCTGATCAGGAACCGATGGTACTGAAGGAAGAAGTCCAAGCTGCACTGAAGGCATTGGCGAAAAACAAGGCTCCAGGAATTGATGGGACACCAATTGAGATGTTTCATCAAACGGATGCAGTGCTCAAAGTGCTCACTCGTCTATGCCAAGAAATTTGGAAGACAGCTACCTGGCTAACCAAATGGAAGAGATCCATATTTATGCCTATTCCCAAGAAAGGTGATCCAATCAAATGTGGAAATTATTGAACAATATCATTAAAATCACACGCAAGTAAAACTTTGCTGAAGATCATTCAAAAGCAGCTGCAGCAGTATATCGACAGAGAAGTGCCAGAAATTCAGGCCAGATTCAGAAGAGGACAGGGAACCGGGGACGTCATTGCTGATGTCAGATGGATGCTGACTGAAAGCAGAGAATACCAGAAAGATGTTTACCTGTGTTTTATTGACTATGCAAAGGCATTCGACTGTGTGGATCATAACAAATTATGGATAACATTGCGAAGAATGGGAATTCCAGAACACTTGATTGTGCTCATGTGGAACCTGCACATAGACCAAGAGGCAGTTGTTGGAACAGAACAAGGGGATACTGCATGTTTGAAGTCAGGAAAGATGTGTCAGGGTTGTATCCTTTCACCATACCTATTCAATCTGTATGCTGAGCCAATAATCCAAGAAGCTGGACTATATAAAGAAGAACTCGGCATCAGGATTGGAGGAAGACTCACTAACAACCTAATATGCAGATGAAGAACCTTGCTCGCTGAAAATGAAGAGGACTTGAAGCACTTGCTGATGAAGATCAAAGACCATAGCCTTCAGTATGGATTACACCTCAACATAAAGAAAACAAAAATCCTCACAACTGGACCAATAAGCAACATCATGAAAAGTGGAGAAAAGACTGAAGTTGTCAAGGGTTTCATTTTAGTTGGATCCACAGTCAACATCCATGGAAGCAGCAAGTCAAGAAATCAAAAGACGCACTGCACTGGGCAAATCTGCAAAAGACCTCTTTAAAGGGTTAAAAAGCAAAGACGTCACCTTGAAGACTAAGGTGTGCCTGATCCAAGCCATGGTATTTTCAATCGCATCACATACACGCGAAAGCTGGACAACGAATAAGGAAGACTGAAGAAGAATTGACACCTTTGAACTGTGGTGTTGGCGAAGAATACTGAATATACCATGGACTTCCAAAAGAAGGAACAAATCTGTCTTGGAAGAAGTACAGCCAGAATGCTCCTTAGAAGCAAGGATGGTGAGACTACGTCTTACGTACTTTGGACATGTTGTCAGGAGGGATCAGTCGCTGGAGAAGGACATCATGCTCGGTAAAGTACACGGTCAGCGAAAAAGATGAGGACCCTCAACGAGATGGACTGACACAATGGCTGCAACAATGGACCCAAGCATAACAACGATTGTGGGCATGGCGCAGGGCCAGGCAGTGCTTCATTCTGTCGTACACAAGGTCGCTATGAGTCGGAACCGACTCAACGGCACCTAATGACAACAACAACATAGTTGTTTCTATGCCACAACGGCTGAGTTGAAATGGTTGCAACAGAAACTGTATGGCCTCTCAAAACCTAAAAGGTCCTTTATGGAAAAAGTTTGCTAACCCTTGTAAATTGGAATGGCTACTTTTATTTGTAAAATTAAGTCCTCTTTGCCCTATTTACTTTTGTTTTTCTATTTTTAACCTAAGTCTCAGAGAGTCAAGAAGAGTTGTTTCCTACTTGATACATAGTCTGCATAGAAGCATAAGAGAAATTCTCAAGAAATAACTTTGAAAGTCATTCAAGAAGGAGAAACTTGAAGAGTATGAAGAAAATGTAAATCTGTTATACCTTCACATTCTCAGTTCAATACAGCATATACATTTTAAACCTATTTTAAGTCCAGCTGTCTTTTCCACTTAACATCAGGAAAAGCACAATCTACATTTAATGATAATTCTCTCAAAGAGAAAATCTATAGAGATTTTCATTATCCCACCTGCTACCACCACAATAAAAATCTCTCAACACAAAAGTACTCGTCAGAATGAGAAAACCCTATGGTACCTAACCCTAAACACAACAATTTAAATTATGAAAAATATACTGCACCCCCCCAGATACCCATATAGCTCAGTACTGAAGTCACTCCTAAGGTTCACCCTTCAGCCAAAGATTAGACAGGCCCATAAAACAAAACGAGACTAAATGCGCACACCAGCACAGGGGCAAGGAAGAGAAGGCAGAAGGGGACAGGAAAGTTGGTAATGGGAAACCCAAGGTCGAGAAGGGGAGAGTGTTGAGATGTCATGGGGTTGGCAACCAATGTCACAAAATATGTGGATTAAATGTGGATTAATTGTTTAATGAGAAACTAGTTTGCTCTGTAAACTTTCATCTAAAGTACAATTAGAAAAAAAAAAAAAAACACTAGAAAAAAAAAAATTGCATTTCTCCACTCTAGATTAAAAAAAAAAAATTAACTTTCCGGATAACACGTAATTCTATTGTTTTATATAATCACATAAGCCTTGTGAAATATCAGTCAAGAGACTCCTTAGTTTTGTCATAATGATGCTACGGAGTTCTGTTTCTCTAATTAAACAATCTTACTGTTACATGTTATTTGAAATCCCTGGTTGAAATGACAGCTAGATTTGCCTCTTCAAACAGGAGACAACCATACTTCCTGGCCCGTGTTCACTAGCAGAGACATAGCCAAGGTATTCAGGAAGATCTCCTCTCATTCTCAGTAACGTTTCTGAGAAGGTGAATGCTAGGAAGAGGCTGCTCTCACTGGCCACTCCACCTCACAGCCTACATGGGGATGTGCATTACTCATTTGGGTGCACCGTGCCATCCACACCTTGAGGGCAGAATGACAGGTGGTGCTTCCCTGCCACCACCTGAAGACAAGAGCCCGCCGTGAGGATGCAGACTCCTCACTGTTCTCTTTCCCGGATGGGCATCTGGCCCGCAGCATAGACAACTTTCAGAGGGGCCTGGTCAGGGAACAGTGAGGGGAAGAAGGTGTCTTGTTCCCCTAACCATTATCTGCAGGTAGCCAGTGGCCCTGGCATCCAGGGGGTCCCTAGGGCCCATGGGACCTACGTGATGCTATTCTGGTGTAATGTCTCCAAGGCCGTATTGCGGTCCTCGGTGGTAGCCCTCTTGTCCATGTTGCGGAAGCGCTCCATAGCTGACATGTTGCGCTGGATGCTCTGTTTTGGAATGTCGAGTTTGGAGACGAAGGTCAAGCAGCCACGGTCGTCGTAGTTAAAGAGCATCGGGCAGCAGTCGTGGCCCTGGAACAAGATCCCAGTCAGCCTTGGAGCAAGCACAAGCTACCCGCCTACCAAGCCCTCACAGAGTTCGCCCTGCAGGCATCTCCTATTCTCAAAAGCTTATTCTGTTTCTCCTAAAAACGCTGTTCTACTTTGTGCTGGTGCCACAGAGCATGCATTGTTCCTGTTCTGGAGAGTTATATACAGTGTACTGTAAGGAATAATGAAGGGAAATACTCACAGCAGCCACGACGCTGTTCTCCGAGACAAATGATACACTTAGGAGTGGCAGGAACTCTGTCTTCAGAGTTGCAACCCTAAACACAAGAACACTTGTTAAACCAGGGTTGAAAGCGACCACACAACTTCTTTAGAGACACAAAAGATGACAAAGGACCCATTCTTACAGGAGGCTTCTGCAATATAAACGAGTACTTACATTTAAAAGGCGTCCCATGAACTGTACTTTCAGGAATCTCAAGTATGGATGGCCCAGGGGTAACTACCCTTCAGAAAGCGAGGCCTGCAGCACTCTCTCTAGCCCATGCTCTACCTCTCCTGAGAGCCCACCCACTTATGGCAAATGGGCCCTTGTTCTTTCCCTTCTCTCCGCCTCTGTTCTCACGCCCCTCCACCCACAGTGCGTCACCACTCCTCTTGTTTATCCAAAGTTGGCCCCAGTCTCTGGAGCTGAGCTCCCTTCCTAGACGACTTCAGCCTCCAGTGATTTCTCCTTTCTCTTACCTCCTACAGTTCTTACTGTCATGGTCACCCATGACTGCATGCCTTATTCTGTTCTCCTCTCCTCACCTGTGCTCACCCCGAGCTCCTAGCAGGCTGGGACCACACAAACATTACTGAGAGCCTAGTCTCTGTTCTCTGCCAGGCACCAGCTTAGACTCTGGGGCCACCACGATGAACAAGACACAGGCCTCGTCAGCCAGGAGCTCACACTCAAACGGGCTGGGGGATGCATATATAATATATACCTACACATATATACAGGTAGTCCCTGACTTACAATGGGGTTCCATTGCGATGACTCCTTGTAAGTCAGTTCCGACTAAGTTGAGTATCTCATTTTTTTTTTTTTAAGTTTTCATTATTATGCTTTTTATTATTGGTATCTTTATAAATCCGATCTTTGTCTTTGGGGGTTGGAAACATTATATATAAACTTATAGATATGATGATATCAGCAAATTGCATGCTACAATATTGTATACAGTACATTATTACTAAAGATAAGATGTACAACAACAAAAAAACCCAGACGGTCTAAGTGTGGTTCATCGTAACTCAAATACGTCGCAAGCAAGGACCACCTGTACTTAGTAATTATTTGCTCTAGCACCTGGCAAAGAGGTTACAAACACATGGTAGGGAAACATGTTGGTTGATGAATAAGATCATCTAACTTCATGCAAGAGATGATGTGTTTTGAAAGCTAACTCTCTATGTCTCAGGAGACCCCCTTAATGAAGTTTGCATTAGATTAAAGGACTAACATCTCATCATAAGCCCTTCCTGTGGCTCTTACTACATGAATATGTATGTTTGAGAAGGGAAGTGGTGGAGGATGTAACCTGATCTGAAGTCTTGGAAAAGTCAAACAATCAATACAAGGGTAGACATGACTTGTAATAAGCATATTTTAAGAGCTTACTATGTGTTATAATAAACTGTATAAGTATCAAACAACTATGGCATCAAAATATCATCAAAAATATCACTGAATGGCAAAAGGCAAATTACTGTACAAACGGTATACCGTAATCCCATCTGTGTTAAAAATGAAAAGATACACAAGTGCCTATATGTGCATGAAGTCCTAGTGGTGTAGTGGTTAAGTGCAATGGCTGCCAACCAAAAAGACTGGCAGTTTGAATCTACCAAAAGCCCCTTGAAGTCCTATGGGGCAGCTCTACTCTGTTCTATAGGGTTGCTAGGAGTCAGAATTGACTCAATGGCAATGGATTTATATGTGCACAGAAATCTTCTGGAAAACTACATTATTTGTAATGAGTAGTTTTTTGTTTTTAAAAGAAACAAAACCAAAAATATGAAATTGAAAAAAAAAATCACAATCTAGTGAGGAAAAAAAAAATCCTCTCTTAAAACTTCATGTAATGCTGCCACTGTGCAGCAGAGGGAGTCAGAGTCACCAGTGTGGCTGGTTCTGTACACAAAGGCCAACAAGGGACAAAACCTGTGAAGGCAAGTCACCTCTAGCTGTCGGTGGAGAAGGAGTCACCAGGAAAGAACAAAGAGTCACAAAGGGGAAAAAAAAGAATCCAATCTTCTCTCTTCCTCCAACATATAAATGAGCCGCTATCAATCCTGATGGCTGACAGCATAGCTAATGCTCTTCCTCTAAGGCTGGGCAGCATCCACTCAGACAGCTGTTGAAATTCAGGCTGTTCCAGCGTACGCTAGAAGAACGGCATGGAGGCTTTTTAGGCACCATGGAGGGAAGTCTGTTAATGGAGTCACTGCTCACAGAACACAGACAGAAAACACCTCCGACTCAATGCCGGTGGCGGACACTTAACAACCAATGCCGTCACAGACTAACTCGCCCCTTTCAAGGGCTCTTTATCCGTAGCAAGCCAGGCGTGCTCCTCAGAGGAATCACAATAAGCACTTCCATTAAGAAGTGTTTCTGGAAGAAGACCTAACTCTTTAAACTCCCCCAAATGCACACTTTCAATGTGTTGCTGCAACCTGAGAGGCTGCCCCTGCAGGTCTAGTTTGGGTTTTTTGCTTGCATCCTATCCTCCTACCCAGGGAAGGAGGCAGCCTCCTTATCCCAGCTGGAGAGAAATCCCCTCTCCCCGGCACTCCACGCTCCAAGCAACAAGTACTCACTGCACGCTTTTTGAGGCATCGGCAACAGACACGGTGCTGTCGTGGCTGACCCAGGCCAGGCGGTTCCCGCTGGCGGAGAAGCTGACCCCATGGACCCAGCCACCAGTGCCACTGCCACCAAACTCTGACATCAGCTGACCAAAAGGCATCTTGCTGCCCCATGGCGTACTGGCTGGCTTTTCATCCACCTCCTTAATGTAGGCAGAAAACACCCTACAGTTTAGGAGGCAGGGAGAGAGGGGAAAAGACATGAGAACGTATGCATATAGTAACAGACCACAGGCAGCTACCGTTAAGGTATCCCAGAATGAAAAGAGATTGACTCATAAAGACAAAACATGATGGATACGTTCAGATGCACAAACCTCTTAAGACACAGAATGGCTCTAAGGGCTGTTTACCGGACAATCCAAGCTCAGCAAATCCATACTCAGTAACAGATGTTCATGAAGCTCCTACTACGCATCAGGTATTGCTTTATGTGCGTAGCTCTTGAGGTAGTGAACACAAAAGGACTTTCTTCAGGGGGTGTTCATTTGGGTGTGTGTGTGGGGGGGCTTTGTGGTCACACTCCTCCCTTGCCCACGTCAGACCTTGACAAATGATCATGGCATTCTTTCCTGTCTACCTCACCATCCTTCTCAACACAGTAGTCCAGGAAGTCAATAAATCAAATGGTAGGAGGAAACTATCTGCACCTGCACCAAACCAATAGTATAACATTTGAAGAAAGAAGAGAGATGACCAACGAGGAAGCCAAGAGGGCACCAGTGACAAAGAGTGGGCAGGCCTCCCCAGTGAGCTCAGGGGGCAGGGCTCTGCTTCCCTTTTTCTACTTTGTACAGCTTCTTCTCTTCAGAAACTTCTGAACTAAGGACTCTCTAAAAGACTGAGGATATTTTCCCCCAAAATAACAGCGGGGATGGTGGAAGAGGCAGGCACTGGAGAGGCGAAGGCCCCAGTGAGGGTATCTGTACCCTGGAAGATGTTACGTTGGAGCCTTAGTGGTGTAAATCAGCATCGCAGCAGCTGTTCCTTTAGCCTTGAGAGGCCAAGAGAGCTGGTGGTTCTCAGTTGCTAACTCGAGAGTGCAGATGGCACGAACCCATACCCACAGGACTATGAGTCAAAGAAAAGTTGATTTGCTGAAATCAATGATTAGGCAAAAGAACTGTAACCTATTTTCACAACCAGATTTTCAGGCATGTCAAGAGAACCCAGGTGGCACGGCTTAGCACCACCTAGTTCCATCTCCCAAGAGAGCTAGAATGCGCTCGAGCAACATACACAAACAACACAACTCCTGCATCTGCAAGACTCCAGAGAAGTCTCTGTGCCTTGACTGTTACAACTTCTCTACACAAGTTTAACTTCACTGCCATTGTCTCCCAGTGTTTCCCACAAAGTACCTTGATTCTACCGCACCCCGTCCCTGCAGCCAAACTGCTATACTCATCTTTCTTTTCACTCTTGCGTGCTCCTCGCCAGGTTTTCTGGAAATCCTCCACATAGCCTACTGAAGAAAGGTGCGTGCCATTCCCCAACCCACCACACAGTCAACACAAAACAGCATTTATTTGATGGAGGGAACTCAAGTTTTCTTGATAAAGAACAGTTTTCAAAAGCAATCACATGGTAAGATTCCTAAAGCTCTGAGCAAAGTGGCTGTGTTCCTTCCTGCCTCACGCTAACTACACACAAAAAGCTTTCAGTGAAAAGGAGCAGCAGTGCACGGTTCAGCTACGTTTTGTTCGTCTTAGTTCCACTCTGGAATTTGCAGAGTCTGCTGCCTGGGACAACAAATGAGAAATAATACTGTCGTCGAGAGGGAGGGAAGGAGAAAGAGAGGGGAGAGAGAGACAGGCAGGCTAACCCTCCACTCTAAACCACTGATATTCCACCTAAGGAAAACTTTCCTGATTCCGCACTTGAAGTCCCTCCTTCTACACCTCCAAGTCCGCTTCTTTCCACTTAGTGACTTACGCACTTGTTTTAGCTCCTTTCTAGACCACACGCAGCTTTCACCTCTGAGTTTCGCCCAGCGCCTAGCAGAGTACCTTGCGAAGAAAAGGAACCTCACACATATCTGTTGAAAGGCGGACAATGAGCAGCTCAAGTCGGCCCACCAATCCCATCTGTTCCCACCTGCACTTGAAGTCGCATGAGCCTGCTGCCAGCAAAACGTTGTTGGGATGCCAGTCCAAGCTGAGGACCGTGGAGCGGATCGGCTTCTTAATGTGCTTGCTTACCCACCTATGGGAGGAGAAAACCCATTTTAATTTATGTACACATCAAGAGGCAGTGCCCAAAAGACCTACAAATGTGTGTCGGTGAAAACACTCAGCATGGTTATGTCGGCCACCAGTGAGAAGGCGCATTTCTGACGGACAGAGAGGAAGAAAAACCACAAACAGTCCCTCTGTTCCACTGTCTTTAGGCTTTGACATTCTCATCAGGTCAGCGGCTCCTCAACTTTTCCAGCTACCAGGGGCTCCTCATTCATAAATAACTTACAGATTAACTCTGGCACTGCCCAATGGAGTTTCAGGTCACACGCAATTTTAGCCTGAGATAAAAACTGAGGTGTGAAGTTATTTAAATTTTTATTACAAATATTCAGTGATTTGTTAATTCATTTTGGGTTAACTTTGGTTTGTGAGATAGTATAACCTCCATTACAGGTCACCATGAGGCTATAAATTATTTTTTTTTTTTTTGCCAGAGAAATTACAATTAAGAAATTAGCAGACTTTCTTGTTGGGAATTAGCCTCTAGCTAATTCTCTGTTCCATCATCTAATTAGCCTCTAGCTAATTCCCTAGTTCTGCTAAAAAAGATTATTTATGGCTAAAACACTCATTATTTTGGCTTACCTAATTCAATTTCTGCCCCCAAACTGCTGTTTAAAAACCAGTCAAGTCCAGAGACCTAAGAGTTCAAGAGTTCAGAGACCTGATATTGAGCCAAATGCCTTTTCTTGAACGCAAGATTATTTTTTATAGAATCTTTTGCTTAGAAATCTTTCTGAAAAGTTCATTCTGAAAGAGACAATATTCTAAATTGTTCTATAATGCAGTAACTTTAAATAAAATAATGAGAAACAAAATAATACACAGCCTATATGACTAAATCATAGGCTTCTGAGAGGTTGTTTTAAAGTACAGGTAATCCCCGACTTACGACGGGGTTCTATTCCGACAACTCTATTTTAAGTTGGCTCTGATGTAAGTCGAATGTCTCATTTGTTTTTTAGCTTTCATTATTATTGTCTTTTATTATTAGTATCTTTATAAATCCAATCTTTGTCTTTGGGGGTTGGCATGAGAATGATGACATCGGCAAATTATGCGCCGCAACACTGTATGTAGTACATATTACTAATGGTAAGATGTACAAAACAAAAAACAGATGGTTTTAAGTAAAACGTGTCCTAAGTCGAGGACTACCTGTACTCACATCATAGGAATGAAATACTGTTCTATAGCTGAGAAACTCCCCCAAAGAGACAGCGTGTCCAAATTACAATACCTTGTACCACAGTAAGACCCAATTTACCTATATTTTCAACTATTTCTCAATGAATAAAAAACATCAACCATCACTGAGGTTGAAGCTTATCCAGGAAGGAAGTTTCCCCTATAAATGAGTAAGACTGCAGGGGTTCGGAGATGGCAGAAAGTGTGTCCTGCAGGAACATCCTATTAATGACGTTTGGTTCTCATATGCTTGTTATAGTGAGGCCGCCAAAGGATTTTTAGCAGGCAGCGTTTTGTTAGCCTTATTTTGCACATGCTTGAAAGAAGAAAGCATGCTGTGGATTCATAATTCAATCTTGTTGTAAATTCTGACCTTCTTTCCAAAGAATCAAAATTTCTGAGGTTTTATTAAATTACAAAATGAAACAAAACAATCCCCTCCTTTCACTGTTTCAGCAGAATGCAAACGGTAAGACTAATGCAAAGAGTAATGTGTACTCTACTATTTTTAATGGAAATACAAACACTGGCAGTTTTGTACCAAATGACAATTCCACGTGGAAGGGTTATTTGCTGTACTTTCTGAATGCATGCCAGGCAGAACAGAGTTGTTTCCTATCTAAGCAATGAATAGTTGAAGTAGGTTGTTTGACATAAAAATAAATCTTTGTAGTCTGAATGGTTCGGCTGCAAATTACTTATAAAAAAAAAATAATAGCCTAATTCTGGTGAATTTTTACTCCGATGGTTTAAACAAGTAAAATATTATAAGACATAGATTTGAATAGCATATAAACTTTAAAGAAAGGACAACATTGTTATCTGTAAGAACCCCAGATATTTTAAATAGATAGATACAGTAAGACAAATTATTTTGCAGAGCACTGAGAATCTTTTGAGTTTATAATGTATATATCAGAGTAATAGTAATTGGAGCAGTACAGAATAAGAACGGTAGTGCCATCTTACAGAACAAAGAAGTTAGCAGATCACAACAGGGCAAGAGTCACTCTATAATAAATGAGAAAGGCGCGAGACTCAGTTCAATGTGCACATAAGAAAGAAAGATGTTTAGCTAGGAGAGAATGAAGAATTTCAGAGGAAAATAAATCTCCAGATGAGGAAAAGCTGAAGGTACAGTTAAGCCTTCACACAGTGCCTTAGGAAGTCTCACACCAGGTCTAACCCTAGAACACAGCAGTCCAAGCACATAATTCTATAGAATTCGACAGATAAAAAACGTTCCAATGTTGCTCACCAGTCATTTTCGGACTCGAAGTAACACACGGAAATGAGCCGTGCTCCACTTCCCACAGCAAATTTGTTCTCTAGGGGGGACCACTTCACAAAAGTGGCTGCTCGATTAATTCTCAGGATCACCAGCGTGGGCTTCCAGACACCGTCTTTCTGACTCCACACATAGGCGTTGCGGTCTGCCCCACAAGTGACAATGCGGTCGCTCTTGGGTGCCCAGTCAATACCTGCAGGTGAGATGCAGTATCAGCTTCTTTGCCCCGTCAATGAAACTGTGGCACAGGCAGGGCACTGGTATGGTGGGACCAATGGGCTTGGTACCTTCATCTCCAGTCCCATCCCTCCCCCGCCTATGGTCCTGAGCACCACCTCACACAAAGGTATGGATGTCGGTGAAAGGCCCCAGGACTCAAGATCCTCTCTGAGGGCAGGTGGAACAGAGCTGTTTTATAATGCAGTTTTGTAACTGTGGAAGTTACAGAACTAAGCAGGGACATTCTTTCCACCCACGCACAGGTTTCTAAAAATATGTGGTATGAAGATCCCTTATCTTTTTTTCCCTCTTTACTAGTTTTTAGTTTTAACTACAAAAGCAATATCCACACATCATTACGAGACAAACATCTCAAAGGGACGTGGAGAAAATTCAGTAAAGTCTTGCCCATTCTTTATGTCCACACCCTCCTCCCTCCAATGATACTACGACCACAGCAAACGTTTCCCTTGGCTTTTTATAAATTAGTAGTGGTCATACGTTACCTCAGAATGCTGATCTTGTCATAATTTCCTAAATTATCCTCCCATTGTTGGACGTTTGTTAGTTTCCAATCATTTCATATAATAAAACTGCAATAAACAGTCAGGCTCATACCTTTTCGCTCTGCCAAAAATTATTTCTCTATGATAAATTCTCAGACATGGGACACAAAATGTTTTTATGAATGTCGTATTTTCCTAACTTGATTGCAAGCCTTTTGAGATAGGAAGCATGTCTCTGAAACTATCGTGGGGTGGCTCTCATGATGCCACCTCCTGATGCTCACATCTTTGTGTGATCCCCTCCCCTTGAGTGTGGACAGGACCTGTGACTCGCCTCTAACCAATGGAATGCTGTGCAGGTGGTGGGATGGATGTGATTACCTGCACATGATTACTTAAGCAGGTAGGTCCTCTCTTGCTAGAGACTCTCCCTCTCTGTCTACCAGCTCTGAAGAAGGAAGCTGCCATAAATATTACAGCCACCGGGAAATAAATTCTGCCAATAACCTGAGGCAGCTTGGAAGCGGATCCTTCCCCAGTTGAGCTTCTGATGAGGACCCCATCCCCAGCTGACACCTTAACTACAGCTTGTGAGACCCAGAGCAGAGGATATGAATAAGCCATGCCCACACTCTTGAGACCACAGAAACTATAAGCTAATACGTCTTGGTTTAAGTCACCAAGTTTGTGGTATCTGTTAGACAGCAAGAGAAAATTAATATACCCTCTAACACACAGAACACTGTCTTGTAAAGAGAAAAAGCCCAGTGATTTCAGAATGATCTTGACAATCTCAAATTTTACCCCATATTCCATATGACCACAACTCTAATTAAACACATATGCATTTAATATGGATTCCTGAGTACCACATGAGGTGTTTTCTTTCTTTTTTTTTTAATCAGTAGGTCATTGTTCTCTAAGAAAAATAGAGAACTGCCTCCTGTTTGGTTTTATAATTCTAAGTCTACTTCCAGAGCCACATCTTTCATTTGAAAATGGAAGTTGTAAAACCATAGTCATTGCCTCAACTATTTTAGGTGGTATTCGCTTTTAACTTTCTAAACATTTACTTGTTAAAAAGAGGGATGAGAAGATCAAACATTCAGTAAAAGGGAAATTCTCATCTCTGACTAAAATTTAGCTTCATTTCTTTTTTCTTTATTTCTGTTTTCCTATCATCTGAAGACTGAAAAGAAAAAGGAGGGGAATCAAGCGTTTATCCCCTTTCCTGTACTAACTGTATCTCAGAGTAACCAAACAGCAGATGAGGGTAAGCATCTCTTCTTGACGGATGAACCTAAAAACCTGTTGCCATCAAGCTGATTCCAATTCACAGTGATCCCATAGGACAGAGCAGAACTGCCCCACACGGTTTCCAAGGCTGTAATCTTTACAGAAGCAGACTGCCACATCTTTCTCCTGTGGAGCAGCTGGTAGGTTGGAACTGCTAACCTTTCAGTTAGCAGCTGAGTGCTTTGACCACTGTGCCACCAGGGCTCCTTGATAAAAGAACCTACTGCCACCTAAATTCAGCTAGCCATTTACAGGGATACAGAGGACAGAGGGGTATATCAAACAGCTCCATGGGCTTGCAATCAATAAAATCCAGGCTCTGAATACTACAGGTCAAACTACCCGATTTCTCAGTTTTCTTGAAACAAATTGCAAAAGAAGACAAAAAAGAGAAGAAAGAGAACTTGCTTAAAAAAGACAAGATATATCAACTAATCACAATGTGTGGAACTTATCTGAAACCCAGTTAAAATAAACTGTTGCAGTGGCTATTATTAAAAAGAGGAGTCCTTCACTGAACTTCTGTTAAGGATGATGGAAAATAATGGAACAGATAAGGGTGACAGTTGAACAACATAATGAACACGATGTCACTGAACTGTATATGTGAAGACTACTGAAATGTCAAATGCTTTGTTTCCTATGTATTTGCTACAATAAAAATCATATATATATGTATATATATACAGGTATATAAGAGTTTTTGTGATAGAAAAATCGCATTGATTAAGGGTAGGGTTGCACAGCCGATTATTGCAACTGCTGTCAATAAGTTGTACACCTGTAAAAGTTGAACTGGGAAAAGCTATGTGACAGATATACTTATGACAACAACAAAAGAGTAGCAGCTGAGGCTGTTTATGTACAACCAAAAACCTTATGGAATTTGGCTCCTTGGTTTGACGGTTTAGGGTCATGGTTTCATGGGACATCTCAGATAATTGGCCTAATAACTTGTTTCGTGCTTCTGTTCTATCTCCTAGTTCATTGTGTAGTGTCTGGGGTCTTAAAAGCTTGCGAACAGTCATCCAAGGCACAACAATAGGTCTCTATTTGCCTGGAGCAAAAGAGGAAGAAGGAGAGTCAGGAATAGGAGGATATGGGATATGTGGCTAATTACCTCCATGAACAACTGCCTCCTTTGCCATGAAACCAGAAGAACTGGATGGTGCCCCGCTACTATTATTGAACATTTTGATTAAAGATTCTATAGAAGAATCCTGATCAAAAGGGGGAAAATGTAGAACAGAATTTAAAATTCTCATGGACTCCAGACTTTCTGGAGCCATGGAGGCTGGACAAACCCCTGAAATTATTGCCCTGAGATAATCTTTAAACCTTAAACCAAAAATATCCAGTGATGTCTTCTTAAAACAAAAAAACAGTTTACCTTAACTAATAAGAAATGTCTGCCTTGAGCACTGTGCTCTTTTAAGATCTATCTATACAGGATCAAACTGACAATAGCAACTCAAAAGATTGGACAGGAAAATTAGGGGACAGTGAGTTTATGTTAAGGGGGAGGAACAACTCAGAAAAGGAGGGTGAGAATGGTTGCACAACTCGAAGAATGTCATCAGTGTCAAAGAACTGTACATGTAGTAACTGTTGAACTGGTATACGTTCTGCTGTGTATATTCTCAACAACAAAATAAATAAAATAAAGAATTCTTCTCTTCAGAATACAAATTGAAACATGAAATGATATTTCTGGGATATGCTTCAAAAGAGTACAGGAAGGGGTGAGTTGAGAAGAATAGGGCTGGCTATAAGCTTATAATTGTTGAATCTGTGTTATGGTAATACTGGGGTTCATTACACTATTCTGTTTATTTCGGATCTGTTTAAAATTTTCCATAATGAATTTTTTTTTTTAAAGGGAGTGAAGCAATCAAATGTTTAACACAGAAGAATAAACTCACAGAAAAAAACCCCAGAACTATGATATCACTTTGATATTTGCCATTCTCTTTTTCTCTGTAGTGATGACTAGTGTTTTTTTCTAGAATGCTTCCCAAGAAATTTTTTTTTCCTGTAGTCACTCTTTTCTGAGGAAACAGGTCTGATCCTTGGTTTCCTGCCACAGAATTATATTTAGATTCTTTCAAGAACAATTTTTTCAGATGTAAAAAAATGTTGTTTGAGCATTTGGACAGAAAACGGGCCCAAGCACAGAAGACTCCAAAAGAGAATGCAAGTAGGAGAGAAAAAAGATCTAACTAAATATTTCACATTTTTGGCTATTTCTTTGGTCTCTTATCTTCGCCTTTCCTCGTTTAAAAGTATTTCCTAAGGTTAAAATTCCAATTTAAAACAGGAATGATTGTATTCTTAGGCCATAAAGCACACTGGCAAAGGGACTTAAGGAAAACAGGCCCAAGCTAATGGAAATTAGGTCGTGGGAAAGCAATAGCCACAAAAAAGAAAATATGTCCCTGGTGATAGTTTGGTAACATGCTCAGCTCTGGTGCTCACTGGCATCACACACAAATCACTGGTAAAAGCAAGAAGGGCTGGTGACAAGTTTTTGCTGGGAATGCAAAGACAACTTCGGTAAGGGTGCAGGAGGCCAAAACAAGTTATCCTTTGATTTTGGGGAAGGATATCTTTTAAGTTAATGAGAATTTTAGGGAATTAGAGACAAAATTCTAGAGTCCAAAACGACAACGACAACAACAACAACAACAAATCACTATGATAATTCTCTTTCCTGCCCAGTTAAATGCAAATGTCATTGTAAGGAGAGGGGACACTTAAGACTGCAGTGGAAAACTTGTCTTTGAAGTTACAGAGAGGAAGTTTTGATGTGCTCGGCCAAATTGTTCAAAGCAAGCGGATGAGTCAATTCTGCCAGAAAACAGGATTAAAAAGGAACTACAGTAGTAAGGATCAAAGAACCAAAGTTCTTTCTAAACAGATCAATAGGTGAATATGGGTTTTAAAGAAATAGCCAGATATACCTTTACAAAGCAATAAAATCTCTTGAAATTTGGTTCACTAAATTTGAAAACCATTGTAAAAAGTTCTCCATTTTTACCTCATACTCTTCCTTCTTTATTTGATACTTGCTTAATAAAACTTAGCACTGCTCTGCTTGCCAACTTTATCCATTTAGTCATTGATAGTTTTCATCAAAGACAAAAGTTGCTGTGTGCTCAGGAATCTGCCTCAGAGCCACATACTTTAAGATCTAGTCTTCCACACACCAACAAGCAAAAGACAAAAACTCACTGGAAAAATGGTCAAAAGTGTTTATGAACAGGAAAGTCACAAGAGAAAATCCAAACGGCTAATAAACGTGAAAAAAATGCTCAACCTTTCAATTAATCAGGAAAATGTAACTTATAGACACACCAGCTTTTACTCATCAGACAGGCAAAAATTAAACAGTCTGGCCATATCAAGCTATGTGGAAAGTGGGCACTCTAACATTGCGATGGGAACGAAGACAATCGGGCAAGGCTGAGGATGTGCATAATCCTGTGTTCTGGCAAGTCTACCTACACAAACCTTCACGCACAGGTACAAAGAGATCTGTACAGGGATGCTCAGCTCAGCACCCCACTGTAATAACAAAAAACCCAGAAACAACCTAAATGTCCTCCAGTGGAGGGAAGAGAAATAAATGAGGTACGAAATGCCAAACAGCAGTTCAGAGGAATAAAACTGATGCGGATACACCAACACGGAGAGATCACAGAAGCAACAGCAAGCTGTAGAAGATGTATAACGTGGTGGCATGTATGTAACATTTAAAAATACTAGACAGTAGTCCTAAAAGTTATTTACAAATACATACTGTTGTTAGGTGCTGTTGAGTCAATTTTGACTCATAGTGACCCCATGTGACAAAGCAGAACTGCTCTACAGAGTTTTCCAGGCTGTAATCTTTACAGAAGCAGACTGCCAGGTCTTTCTCTACTGGAGCTGCTGGGTGGGTTCAAACCACCAACCTTTCGGTTAGCGGTCAAGCACTTAACTGTTGTGCAACCAAGGCATGTATGTAAAAGTATTAAAAATGAACTGGGATGATGTCAGACTAAATCACAGACTGCCTTTTGGGAAGGAAGGGAGAGGTACAGGACTGGTGGTGAGAGAGGAACTTTACCATTATGTGTAATGATTTTTTTTTTTTTTATTGTACTTCAGGTGAAGGCTTACAGAACAAATAGTTTCTCATGAAACAGTAGTACACATATTGTTTTATGACATTCGTTAACAACCCCA